AAATCCACTATTTCACAAAAAATTGGTCTATGACCTTCTTTCATTAGAATCTACTAGGATCCTTGTTGAAGACAGAGATTCTGGTCATCACCTAGACCTAGTGAATAACAATTTCAGGATGTAGCCCTCCAGGTGATACTTACACACATGAAAGTTTGATCATTACTGCTGTAGTTTGTAGAATCCTCCATTTTATTTCTATCCATTTCCTTAAATCTTTACTCCCTTTCTCATCTAGCCTTGACTTCATTGTCCATCACTTCAGCCCAGATGCTTTTGCTGCCTTGAATTATTTGCACCATTGTTCTATCTCAGCTGGTCAAAAAGAGAGAGGGGTTGGAGCTCCATGCCTGTACCTGGGCTGTACATTGCACAGTTGGGCAGGTTCTAGCAACCATGAATTCACATCACTGACACAAACTAAACATAATTCTATATTCCCCTACCTTTTACCACAGCAGCAATTCCTACCATTCTCCTATATTTATGTTTTGTTTTGAGACGGAGTCTCATTCTGTTGCCAAGGCTGGGGTGCAGTGCCGCAATCTCAGCTCACTGCAACCTCCGCCCCCCAGGTTCAAGGAATTCTCATGCCTCAACTATCCATATAGCTGGGATTACGAGTGTGCGCCACCACACCTGGCTAATTTTTGTATTTTTAGTAGAGACAGATTTCACCTTTTTGGCCAGCCTGATCACAAACTCCTGGCCTCAACATCCTAGGCCTGCCTCAGCCTCCCAAAGTGCTGGAATTACAGGCATGAGCCACCGCACCCAGCCGATTCTCCTATTTTTAATAACAAAAATATTGTACCTCCATTCTCACCTCAAAGCCTACCACCAGTAGCATGATTAAATCATAGCAAATGACTTCAACCCCACTTCTGTGAAAAATATAATGAAAAAAACATGCTACCAAACCAGCACTTCCAACTAGGATCATACCAATAAGCCTGTGACTTGTCTGCATCATCATCCATCCTTCCTCCCCTCCAGTTATAATGGTCATTCATCCTTTGACTTGTCCAAGGCCGACTAGGTTAGGGGTGGCAGTAGAGTAAGGAGGACTTGGTTAAAAATTACCAGGCCCAGCCATCTAGAAGGAAGCTCAGGACCCCAAAAGCCAACAATTCCGTAGCAACAGAAATCCCATGGCAAATGTTTAGCCTGTCCACTCTTGTTGGGAACTTGACAAAATATTCACCAGGATTTAAAGCAGCTTTTTGCAGCCCTGGGCTTGTCTAATGCTAATTCCACTGCCTGTGCTCTGGATCTTGTTTCCTCACACACTCTCAGAATTGGCTCAGTCTATGCTCTTGGACCTTCAATCTCTACTGGTTCCCTTCTTCAGAAGTGGGACATGTTCAAATCTCTGCCATCCTAGAAAATTCTTTCACTGATTGATTCTATCTACTAACCTCCTATGTCTTCCTATTCAGGGCAAAATTCCTTCTATCTTTCCTCTCTGTCTTCCTCCTCCCTCCTTTCCTTCTTTCCTTTGTTCCTATCTTCTTTACTTCTTCCCTCTCTGCCTCCCTCCTTCCCCTACTTTTTCCTTCCCTCCTCTCTTTTCCCTTTTTCCTTCTTCTCCTTCCTTCCACAAGTATCACTTGAACCCCTACTATGTGCCAGGCACTCTTGTAGGCACTTAGTATACATCGGTGAACAAAAATTAAAGATTCCTCCTCTAGGGCTTTTCATCTAGCCAGGGGAGGGAGATTAAGTCATAAACATAATAAAATACATTGTATGTAAATTTATACCTAATTATATGAAGAAAAGAAGTAGAGCAGGATAAAGGGGGATGACTGTTACAGAAGCAAATTGAAATTCCAATAGTGTGGTCAGAAAAGGTCTTATGGAGGCGACATGGAAGCAGATTTAAAGGAGGGAAGGGAGACAGGCTTGTGCAGGTCTTGGGGAGAACATTCCCAGCTGAAGGACTAGACAGTGCAGTGCTTCTAAGGCAGGAGGGTGCCTGGCATGTTTGATGAGTAGCTAAAAGTCTGGTATGATTGGATGGAATAACCAAGGGGGAGAGTAGTAGGTATTACATCAGAGAAGTAACATAGGACCTCAAGGACTATTGTAAGGATGATGGCTTAATCCAGAGAATCAGGGTGTTGTTCCGTTCTTTTTAATATGTAAAATAATGCCAGCTGGGTGCCGTGGCTCATACAGGTAATCCCAGCACTTTGGGATGCTGAGACAGGAGGATCACTTGAGGCTAGGAGTTCAAAACCAGCCTGGGCAACATAGTGAGACCTTATCTCCACCGAAAAGAATTTTAAAATTATCCAGGCATGTTGGTGTGCTCCCATAGTCCCAGCTACTTGGGAGACTGAGTGGGGAGGATTGCTTGAACCGAACCCAGGAGGTCGAGGCTGCAGTGAGCTGTGATCACACCACTGCACTCCAGCCTGGGCAACAAAGCAAGACCCTCTCTCAAAATAATAATAGTAATAATGTCTGTTGCGGCATTGTAAATAATTACTCCAAATGGGAAACAACCAAAATATCCATCAACAGTCTAATAATTTAGGGGGTCTATTCATACAGTGGAATATCATATAGCAATGAAAATTAACAAAGTACAGCTACACACAATAACATGAATGAATTTCATTGACACTGTCGTCATAGGGTTTCTGCACAGTGCCTTCAAAGAATCAGCTAGCACTCTCAGTAGACAGTATTCTGTAATGCTAGAATCTAGTGCTGTGATCATTGAAGCTTTGCATGTCAGCCTCAACCTCGGGGCTTCTGGAATTTCTGTGTGCACCCTAGAGTGAGAGTTTCCACAGTTTGGTCCAACAGCCCTAAGACTACCATGGGAAACTCCATGTCTGGGCGATTCAAGAGACAGGATCATTATCTTTTTCATTGAGCTGTGATGTGGAGACCTGAGCTGTGGAGCGGGAGGAAATAGATTTTTTTTTTTTTCAGTCGCAAGATTTAATAGAGTGAAGACAGAGCTCCCATACAAACGGAGGGGACCCAAAGAGGGTAACCGTGCTGGCTGGAATGCCTGGGTTTATGTCCTGATCATTGCCCCTCCCACTGTGCTCTCAGGCAATAGGTGAGTGGCTATTTCTTTACCTCCTGTTTTTGACTAATTAGCATTTTAGTGAGTTCTCTGATTGGTCAGGTGTGAGCTAAGTTGCAATCCCCATGTTTAAAGGTGGATGCAGTCACCTTCCCAGCTAGCCTTACGGATTTTTAGTTGGCCTAGGAAATCCAGCTAGTCCTGTCTCTCAGTCCCCGCTCTCAACAGGAAAACCCAAATGCTGTTGGGGAGGTTGGCTGATGACGGCTCTAACTGCTTCCTTCTGAATTGGGACATAGTAGGGGTCGTGCAGTTGAGATTTCCTCGGGAGGGTGCCTTCAATGTCATTAACATCGGAGCATGGGCTAGCAGGCCAGTCCAGGGGTCCACGGTGGATCTTAGTCATGGACTACATCTGGGCCTCCATTTGAAGAACGATTTGTAGTTTTACAGCTTCGATCCTGGAAGAGACAAACTTAACAAGTAGGTTGAAGATACAGGAATTGAAATGTATGGCCTGCAGTGCAGGGGATTATTTCTTTGGCACACTTTACAGACCCTGACTATCTGCTTGATAGTTTTGAAAAGGCCTGGACCAGTAAATAACAATTTGGCCATCTGATGGGTGCTATCAATGCCTAAGTGAAAGGCTTGGTGAAGGGTTTAAATAATTCCCATTGGTTAGCTGCAGGCAAAAGTATTTTTCCTTCTTCGGTGGCTAGCCATCCTGAGGGGAGGAAACTATGTCCTTGTAAGGTTCCCCATTCTATTTCTTCTTCTGAGTACTGGGGCTTGGTTTCCCAGAGGGGACTACCTCATACTAGGGGTCCTTCTATAAGCATTTCTAATGGAGGGTCCTGCCTTGCGGCTCTTTTGGCTTCAATATCGGCTTGGCAGTTCCCTTCTATTTCCCTTTCCTTTCCTTTCTGATGACCCCAGCAGTGTAAGACTGCCACCTCTTTAGGTTTCTGTACAGCCAATAATAATCTCCTAATGGCTTCCTGATGTTTGATAGGTGTTCCCTCAGAAGTTAGGAATTCCCTTTCTCTCCATATTGCTGCATGGGCATGTAGGACTAGGTAAGCATACTTGGAGTCTGTATATATATTTACCCTTTTTCCTTCTCCTAATTCTAGTGCCCAAGTGAGGGCTATGAGTTCTGCCAGCTGA